CAATTACAAATAAAAAAATTCAAAGAAATAATTATTTTCATTTAATTATTAGATACTACTTGATAATTATTTCTAAAAATTGATAAAAATTTGAAAGGTACAATTGTCAAAACTGAAATTTCAAAAAAAGATTTCTCAATATTCATATTTGAATCCCTTTATACCGAAACACCATTATTCCTCAAGTCGAGAATCTTTCAACAATGTTATTTCATTGATAAACACGTCTGCAACGTGTTTCAATACACCGTATAAAATTTGTAAATCCTGTTGTATCATATTTTCGTTTCGAATGTGTATATATTTTTCGCTGTCTTTTTCAGGTTAGTCGAGATGAATGGTTTTCACTGTGGGAAGAATACGCGAAAAATCCATCGAGCCCATCCGAATGGCAACAGGCGTACATGTCTGTGACGTTCCAGTTGTTCGATGCGTCTGGTAAGTTTATTATCCTCTCAGTTTTCCAGAATCATGAGAAAAAAAAAGGGATTCTAAATGCCCTCTTTCCAATATATTCAGACGGTTCGTAAAATATTTATGGAAAAATTTTGGGAAACGAGGTCGGGCAGAAAGTTTCCAAATAATATATACGATGATCGATATAGAAATAAAAGAAGTTTCCACTCGCAACGTGCGGTACTGAATTTTACGGAATATGTTTCTTGTTTATACGATAAAAATATATATACATGTATCCGGTAAGCTGTATTTATTATAATAAACTGAAATTTTAACAAAGCTACGTCATACCAGCCGAAAGTAATATATTGAGGTAACCGAAAGTAACATTTGAAAGTAGTAAATATATTGAGAGAAATTCGATTTTATTAGAGAAAATTAAGTTTCTTAGGAAGGAGAATACTTTCAGAATTTTCTCGAAATTTTCTCGAAATTTTCACTCAAAATTTCGTTAAATTGGAATTTGGATCAGGGCTCTGTATACTTAGGGCAGATTAGAAGAATATACTTTAGGGCTATTTGGCAATTACATACATTGCAAATTAGGGGGTTAATTTTAGAGAATAACTATTCTGTGTTTGGAGCTTTTTGGGCCCGCAAATGAAAATCAGGGCCATTCTTGTATAAACAAGTATTTAACCTTGTGTAAGTATTTAAATTTGGCGAATCCACTTTAGAGTTCATTTCACATTAATATTGGCAATTATCATAATTTAGAATACTCGTCGAAATAAGATAACACCACAATTTTTGAAGTTCTGTTAATTTATATTATTGTAGTGTGACATTAGAAGAAAATATAAAATGAAAAGTTTTTAACCAAATTTAGAAGTCGAAGTCAGAGAGTTTATTTGTTCCATGCAGCAATGACAAGCACCGGACAAGTGCCTATTTCGTCTAATTGTAAAATTTTCCCCTGTCTGTCTATTTAACGAAAGCAGAGTTTCTTTACTTACAAACAGCTGAATCTGTCTATTTCACTGTAACAGCATACTTCTTTAAAAAAATCTTCAGTTAAAAAAATTCTGTCTAACGCAGCAAACATAATCGACCAATTATCGATAGAAAGAAAACTGCAAAACTGTCGTATATGTGATTTCGAATAAAAAAAAAAAAAACCCCCAGAGTGATTATTAACGAAAAGTTGTATCGTCCATCAGGTGACAAATCGATCGACGAGAACGAATTCTGCAACGTGTGCAGATACCACGGTGTACCAGAAGCTGAGGCCAGGGAAGCTTTCAAAAAATTAGGAGTCGTAAGTGGAAAATCGGGGGACAAAAATTCCCACGAAAGCAGACAATCATAGGAAAACGTCCAATCTGAATTTGAATCGTTTCTTTTTGTACAGGGTCAGGAAATAACCTGGGATAAATTCACCAACCTCTGGAAGCAATATTTCTCCTCGGACGAGCCGACCGCAGCCGGAAACTTTATTTTCGGAAAAACTTCCTTCTAACTTGCTTTGTTCCGCAGGAAACCGAGAAAAACCGTGCATATATATTACACACTTCCTTGCGTCGCATTCTGCTGTCCGTTTTGCTTGATTTCTCGCGGTCAATTTACCCCGTTCTTCCCAAAGGATAACGAATCGAGCCAGGCTTTCTACTCTTATGTTCGACAACGAATAAAGGCGATTATTTAATTTTCCCAAAACGAACAAAAACAAACATTCACATGAAGGATCTCGAAACGAACGATTTGCACAGAGCAACTTCTTTCCGTTCCTCTTTCTCCCCAAATTTTCCTTTTCGGCGATTGTAAATAATCGTCCGCGCCGTGAGCAGGAGGAACTCACGGATCAAGACAATGCGTTCGACAAATACAAAAACTACCATCCCCTCGCGCAACAGCGAGAATCCTTCCGCCGTTATCGTGAAAAATTCGTAACGGTGATAAAGTATAATCTCACTGTATGTTTGTATCTGTAGCGTATTTTAAATGTAAGGAAACGAACTATAATACAATAATTGTGACCTGTGCAAGTCTCCTTCACGTCCAATGGCAAGATCGTTGTGCTTTCAAAGCGGCGGCGCGTATCGAGCGATCCCGATCGTATCGATCGTTCGATTTTCTGGCAGAGCAGAGAGAGAAAAAAAAAGAAAACAAATATTTCCCTCCATTGTTGAACAGACGATATTTTCAGAGTTTAAAGCGAAACTTGTTCTGGATAAAGATACCCGTATATACAATATGTATGTACAGGACGGGCCGCGACGGCTGGTACAATCGGGCAAAGGGTGATTCTACGTGTAAAAATAAAAGGCAGATATAGAATAAAAATTTTTTTCATAAAAAGCACAGCTCTTGGAGAAAACGAACGAAAGAGAATTTAATTTGAATATTCGTCGAGCGCAGTTACATTTCACCCTCGGTAACCTGATTTTTCTTCGTTCGAGTTGACTTCTTCCTTTACATTTTGATGGGAGAAGAAAGAATACATGTAAAATGGAATTATTATAAAAAATGTAGCAATTGTGATTTTCGAAATTGTAATTATTGCAGAAAAATTGGCTGGTAATAATGGAACAGTACAACTCTATAGTGCAATAATATAAATGAGACTAAAAAATTTATTAAAAATAAACGAATGAAAATTATGATAAATGGATACGTAAATTCTAAGTTACACGACGTTATAGAGGGTTAATTTTTTTTTGAATTTATGCTCGCACTAATAAGCAATGTTGTGTCATGATGAATACTGATAACACATTTGTCAACGATTTCTTTAATTTACATTTACACCACTGGACGAATTGTTGAAATTGACGTGTTTGCATATAAAAATCCTTGCTATTTTTCAATCAGAGTGGTGGACTGACGATACTGATTTTTGAATCATGACTTATGTGAGTTTCGACTATTTACTGTTTAACATTTGTATTTGGTAATCGTCGGTGTTAAATTGAAACTAAAGTTGCAGCAAAAATACAAATTTAACAGAAATACAGTTCTTCCTTGGTCACACCTTGCAACCATAATCTGCGCCATGAGCATGACTCCCCATTATAAGGCAAAGAGTTCACTGTGTGAAAATTTGTACGTTTTTTTCTCTTAATTACAAAAGATTTACGTTGTCTCTTCTTTTTTACACTGTTTCTCAAACTATTTTTCAAAAATGTAACATTACCACTGTTCATCAACGTAAACATATGAACAGAAGTAAATTTCACAGCGAATCTTTAAATGGAACTTTTTCGAAAAGTAAGTTTCTTATGAAAGAAATTGTTACTCTATAATTTTGATCTACTCTTGCACGTAAAATTACTATCTTCCCCATTAAATCGGCTCACCCTGTACATGTATAAATGATAGTTTCAGCGTTTTCGTGTAACGTTGGAAAAAAGAGTCGACGTGAGAAAGTGATCAAAAGAAAAAAATAAAAAAAAAACATATATATATATATATATACAAACGTTGGCTTAATTATCATGTAAGAAGTATCGCAGGATTGAAGTGGTATATTTTAAACGAGTTTCGATATCGCCCTAAATGTGTCTTGTGTAGACATTATATTTACGCTGTTATACTGGCAAAAAAATAAACAAAAAAGAGACATAAGTATACCTACAAAAATATATATCTATATTTGAAAGGTCAGAGTTTCCAATGAATAATTATAATTAAAGAGGTTTTTCAATTTTAATCGATGTTCACTTGAAGCTGCAGTCGAACAACTGAACAGTTGGTACGTATTTCAATTTTAAGATATTTAATCAATTATTGCCCGATTCTTTGATCAGATTTCATTGCAAACGCTATTTTCTTCTTGTTCATTTTCAACAAGAGAATTTCTCCTAATCAAATTTGCATAATTAAAACTTGACGAAAATTTTTGTTTTACTCTATTATTTCTGTCGAAGATGCATCCATTGCTGGCTTTTTTATTTGTATACAGAAAATTTGTTCAACTTGGCGCGATTTATGTATTAAATTCTACTATGCAAATGAATCTTTGCTTTAATTTTCTACGTTCAATAGTAAGGTTTGTTAATTGAATTTTACAATATGGAGAAAACTAATAGTAACATGGGTGAAAAATAAAAAAAGACGCCAGCCAAATGGATTAAAACAAAATAATGAAAGATATTGATAATAATTTTGTGGGCAACAGAATTTTAACGAATTTGAATGAAACCAAAAATATGAAAATAAAATACTCACATTCGTATTTGTACGATTCGCATTTGTTCCCATCTAAATTACAATTTTCTACTGGTTTGTGCTTTTTAATTATTCTCTGTTCGATGCTGTTAATTGTTTTACAATTAGCAAGAAAATTTTCATTAGAAGAAATTATGAAATTATCTGTACGAATACGACTGGGAGAGGTTTAAGTTTAGTTGTACTCGTCGAAACATTCATGTGCTTCAAGGTATCGAACAATAACGTTACTTCGCGATTTAATATAATCTGTCATGTAATTCTGAATGTATAATAAAAGGAAATTGAAAACAGTAACGCGGGAATTGATTTCCTCGATTTTCAATCGGTGTGAGGCGCGGATACAATAAATAACAGAACTGTGTTAAACTATGGTAAAAGTTTCTAAACTTTGCTGTCACTTATCAATTTAATTTCATTAAATTAATGAAAAAGGTGGATTGCAAATGTTCTTTAATTCTTTAATTATTATGTTTGGAAAAAATTACTTTAAAATCTTTCTGCGAGGATTTACGCATTGGACAAAGATGTCACAGTGGTTCCTCGTTCCAGTCATTTCTATATTTCTATGTACGTATAAGACTTTTATAATTATAAAAATATTGTGATAAGAGAAATCTTTGTAAGAAAAGTATAATATCCCAAATTAGGAAATAGGAACACTTAAAATGAATTTTTGTTTTGCGATCTTGAAAATAATTTCTTGGTTAAATTATCTTCAATTATTTCGTGAAAAATTGACTGATATGCCTAATAAACACACGCATTTGCACTTTTCTTCAATGTTACACAAATTCGTTAGATTGCCGTCGTAATGTATTTCGAAGTGATAAATTTATCACGTTACTCTAATTTACAGTTACGCAAAAAATTAACTCTGACACGTGAAAAACGATCTCCTTTTAAATTTGCATTAAAATGCATTCACGATTCATGCAGAGAACCGCTGTGACATTGTGCCGAGTGCACGAGCACTCAACGCCTATCAAAGTTGTTCTTTTTCGAAGAATTCCACAAAGAATAAAAAAAAAAAAAAAAAGAAAAAAGAACAAATTTATTTTACCGGCTTTGTTCACATTTTGCTACGAACAATTATCTGCTATTTATTGTGCTGCTAATTAAAGCGACGTACAATAGACACTTATAATTGTCAGTGGAATGGTGTTCTTTTTGTATTATCACGTGAAAAATACATTCAGACACAGCAGAAAGTCCGAGATTACTTTATAATTAATGCAAATCGCGCGGAACGAAGCGAGCAACTTCGACAAGTGTTTACAAAGAAAGAACTTTATCGGCGAGAAACTTTATATCGGAGACGGAGCGGACGTTCAATTTGTATAGCTGGTGGAAGCGATACAGCGCGGTCGTAATAAGCAGCAACACCGATAGACGTAGCTGCACTCAGGGCTGTGCGTTATTTCTGAATTCATATTTAAAATTTCTGCTTGCAATCTTTCGTTTAAGATACACACATCGAGACCAAAATTCAAAGGAGAGCTCTTACTGTTGCTCAGATATCCGAATCTTGAATATTCGAGTACTCGGATAGCTACTCAATTTATACTCGAGTATCCGAGTATTTGGGTACTCGTGTAATTTCTAGTTCAATGAGTCTATCGGATACAAAATATCAGTGTGGAACAGTCTCCTATAAGCAAGTACTGTGCAAAGCTGAGGAGTTTGCTCCTGGAAGGAATTCTGGTCACCTAAAGCCACCTTCTCTAACACAATCACAAAAACAGGGCACGTGTATTGTCATTATTGGCTGGCGTGATAACATCGACGAATCAGATCATTTAAAACGAGCAAAGTGCCCTTGTTGCCCCTGTGCTGCCCCGCGGGCAAACTCCCGAGCACCACACAATACTGTGAAGCTATTTAGGAAGAAGTCACGAGGAAGAAATACGGGTCTAATTGGGTTAACTGTGTTCACATTTCAAACAGAAATTAAATCTTTCTAGTTTATAATTAAAAATAAGTAAAGGCACCTGTCCAGTTGAGAGTAAAACTATCGCGAATTGCTATCGAGAGTCAAATTTATCTGTACTGTGCTGATGGAGAGTTGGATATACAGTCTGAGAGTACTCTCGAGGGCAACTACCGTAAAAAACTCTCAGATGGACACGTACCCTTAGTCTGTGCCGCCAAGAATCTAAATTTTGGGCGGGGCAAAGACGAAAGTGGGCGGGGCAAAGACGAAAGTGGGCGGAGCAAACACCTCACTAGCCGTCTTCGCATCTCTGCACAGTAGTTTGACGCTATATCGGTTCCACCGGCTATACGCGTGTCGCTAGTAATTTTCAGATGCGAGACATGGATTTTTGTCCCTCCCTGGAGGGCATGACAGTATTGTAAAATTCTCTTTGGTGTTTGCTTTCATCATCAATCACTGCCCATTGTGAAGATATGTGTGCAAATACGCGCGTCGAAACGGTAGAACATGTAAATAGAGTCAGGCACAATCTGTTAGAAGTTAGAAGCGGCTGCACGAGGCACGACGATAAATCCTGACCCATCGTTTATTATAGTGGTTGTTGTAACGGAAGAAGAAAATTCGCGAAAAAGTATGACAATTTGTTGCGACGCTTTAAAATCACCCTGGGAGTGAATCTTATTGGGGAAAAAGATAACTGTGGCCGTCGGTTGCTCATGAACGCACGTGATATTGCTGTTTGGAATAGATATTATATGGTGTTACTGACTGTTTGTGAAACGTGCCGATAACGGCAGGAGTGAAATTATGTAAAAAGTCAAGTGCATGTTAATTCGTTAAATAAAGGTGTCTCTGAACGTCAACATTACTGTGTTTAATTTTACCAGTAAAATATGTTTTTTTATTCTTTATTCTGTTACTGTTTGTAGTATAGATGTCTCTGAACGTCAACTGTGTCTATTTTTATTAATTTTTCCTGTGAAATATCTTTTTTTGTTTCCTGTTAATGATCATAGTATAAATTAGTTTAATTGTTGATATTAAGAAGATTGTTTTGTTAATACTTTAGATACTAGACTGAATAATTGGACTTTATAACTTATGCAAAATACATTTTTCAGATCATACAATAGTGTATAGTACTTATAAATGTTGACACATTTGGTAATTATTGAAAAAATGTGTGGTACTAATAAATTTGTATTATTTTATTATGAATAGAGTTATTGAATTTAGAAACAAAGTGTTTATTGTTCTTTAAGTAAGATATGATAAGGAAAATCCATATTTCTGTATATTTGTTTTATACATGTTTAATTATGTTGTACTTATATTGTATGACTGTCTTGAATTGTTTTATAACCTTTTTTCATTTAATTAATTAAAAGCTTGTTTTTAAGCTAGCTTATCAAATAAAAATGATTAATAATTTACATTAAAGCTTTAAATTATCTTTGTACTTTCTATAAAATTGATTTATTACATTTTAAAATTTATCAATTCTAATGTCTTGTTTTATTTTATATCTTCTTATATTAAGAAAATTAATGTTACTGAACTGACTAAGATTCATTATGGATATTGATATAAAAGTGTGTAATAAAAGGTGTGAATAATATAATATTTGTTTCTCTTTTAATAAATGTATTTAGACTGAACATGTCTCATCTGCTGCTTTATATTTCAAATCGTTCAATCTTAAAAATAGA